ACAGAATATAATGGAAAGCTACCTGGGACAGGTGATGTCTAAGTTAAGACTTACAAAAGTATTTGTCAAAAAGGGAGTCAGGCAAAGAATATTACAGAAAAAGAGAAATAGAATGTGCAAAAGTATAAAGACAAAATTAGTTTAGGAGAATTACATTAAAGGAATTCAGAATGGCTGGAGCATACAACTCGAAATGGGCAACAGTAAATATAAAACTAAAGTAATAAGCAGAAATCACTTTGTGTAAATAATTATAAGCTATTATAGATGACTGTACATTATCCTGAAGGCATTAATGAGCACTAAAAGGGATCTGAACAAGCAAATGGTACAATGAAATGTTATACTATTTAAAATATTATTTTGTTTTCATATATGCAGATGTATGTTTATACATAATTGTATATATATTTTACCTTGGTTTTTCTTCTTAATGCTGGAGTAATTCTCTAACGCAGTACATTGCTAGGCTTTTCCTTATAGCAAGAAAAGGACATATCTTGGATGTAAACTTGCTAAAGAAAAGCCCAAATCCGCATTCTAATCAATATTTCTTAGCCTGGCCACAGGGGAGCATTGCTTTAAAAGTATTCTAGCTAGATGTATATAATTCTGTGGGAAGAGTGAAAGTGTTGTGATGTCTCTAATTGGTTGTCCTCCTAAGTTGCAGCATTCTGGAAACAATTGCAACGGGCTTCACTCTGAGCTCAAAAGTAACTGCTGCTGAGGAAACCCATTCAGAAGCTGATTTGGCCCACTCTCCTGAAAGGGCTGTTGTTGTGGCAGTTGGCTTATGAGTACGTGGTTCAGTCTGGGAGAGGCTTATAATGGTGACGGCACCCTGAGGGCAGGAACTTCTGTCCTGGAAGGATCTTTCTGAGAAGCAGACACAAGAGGAAGTGTGGACCATGTTCTGTAATTATGTGGTGATGTTTATTTGGAGTAAGGAAGGAGGGGAGAAAATCACCCTTTCTTTTATGAGATTGAGATATCATGAAGGTTTTCTATGTTCTGATCAGGCATGAGAAGCCAAAATTGAATCAAAATATGTTCTTAATAAGTGAACAGAAATAAAATCTCAGCAGAGAAATGCGAACCACAAAAGAGGAAACAAATGGAAATCTCAGAATTTAGGACAGTAACAACTGAAAAATTCATGGGATGGGCTCAACAACAGATTGGAGGTGGCAGAAGAAAGACCACATACATGAATAAAGAAACTAATATATTCACAAAGCTGAATACTACTCAGCAACAAAAGTAAATGGCTAATTCATTCATTCATGTGGATGAATGTTTCAAACATTATCCTGAAAGAAAGAAGCTAGACACAAAAGAATACTCATCCATTATTTCATTTATACGAAATTCCAGAAAAAGGTACATCTAATCTATGGTGACAAAAATCAAGTCAGTCATTGCCAGGGTCTGGGGATGGAGGAAGGCACCGACTACAAAGGATCAGAAGGAAACTGGTAGGCTGATAAAAATAATCTATGCCTTAATTGGTGTTGTGGTTACACGGGAGTGTACATTTGTCGAAACACCCTAAATGTTACACTTGAAATGTGACATATTACTTCATGTAACTTATATACAACAAAATGGAGTTAAAAAATAAGGTGGATAAAAGCTGTTTAGTTTCTAGACCTCTACACATCAGTAACAGTTCTTTCGACTCTGTAGTTAAGTAATTTTTCTGTTTTAATTTGGAAGAAAACATGAAAGAAAGAGAAGCAGAAGGTGGAAGAAGATAACAAGAAGTAGCATGTAATAATTCAAGTTCAGTCTCTTGGGGTGCCTGGGTGGCTCAGTTGTTAATTGTCCGCCTTCAGCTCAGGTCATGATCCTGGGGTCCTGGGATAAAGCCTCGTGTCAGACTCCATGCTCAGCAGGAAGCCTGTTTCTCCCTCTCCCACTCCCCCTGCTTTTATTCCCTCTCTCACTGTCTCTCTCTCTCTGTCAAATAAATAAATTGAAAAATCTTTAAAAAAAAATTTCAGTCTCTTAAAAAGCTTTTAGGTCCCACGTCTACTATTTACTAGCTCTGTGATCTTGAGCGAGTGTCTGGGTCTGTGTCTCCCCTCTGTAAAATAGCAGGGGTCGGGGGAATAATAACCTCTCACGAAGTTCACCTCTCCCGTAAGGTGAGGATGAAGTAAGATTATGTGCATAAAGTTCCTAGAACATGCTAAGTGTTCAGTAAATTTTACCTACTGTTTTTATTGAGCTTTTTATTTACTATTTTTATTGTTAATCAAAAGTGATCATTTCAAGTGAGTCTAGCTTCTTCAAATAAAATTGTGGGAGATGATCAACATGGTGTGGTGGCTCCAAGATTTCTTGTTTTCAGCTGGCTGTGTGAGGGGCTGGAGGTGAGAATAGAGAAAAAAAGGCAATTTTTGCCTAGTCTCACAGACTGGCTAGCGACCTGGAATCATGGAAATAAATTTATCTCATTGTAGAAGTGATCTTCTGTCATAGCTGGGCCCAGGGCAAATAACATTGAATGGAATGGAAATTTTCTTTTGTCTAATGAAATGTAGTTATTTAGATCACAACCAGAAGCTCAAGATAATCAGAAAAGACAGCGGACTTGAAAGCAAAGTATTTGAAAACATGAACAAGAGGGAAAAGAAACAGAAAAGAATGCATGACCACCAGTATTCATGAAATTCTGTGTGAAAAGTATCTTATCTATCCCCATACAGGGATATAGAGCCTTAGCTGCATTTCAGTTTAAAATATCTTTTCTTTATTTGGGAAAGAAAACACTGGTATTGTATTTTTTTTTTTAACGTCAAACTAAATCTGAGAATAAATTTACACGGTCCCCAAATTTCTGGAGAATAACTGAACAACTTTTTCAGGAGGAAAGTGGCTATCCTAAACATATCTAATGGCTCAACTTTGTCTATGCAAGTTTGAGCAGGATATGGTCTTACAACATTTCCCTACCAACCTATTTTGAGACAGCTGCAGTGTCCATCTCCACCAATTCTAGGTGGAGATTTACACAAAACTGAATAGGACTGAAGATCCCAGGCTCAGAGCAGGAGATGATTTTCCTAGAGACAGAGATGCCAACATGACTCTTCTCAACATGTTATAGGAACTGATTCCCTGGTAGGAACAGTTGCAGATAGTGAAGCTGAGGACAGTCTAGGATTGAGGGGAGATTGTGGGAAGGGGGCAGGGGGATAAACAATAGCTAATTATGACAGACAGTCTTGGGGAGAAAAAAGGGAAGGAGAAATGAACCAGATTTTTTATTCCTTTTGCCTTGACTGAAGATTTAACTCATGCCCTAGTAGATCAGTTCAGCAGATCAGTCTTGTTATTTTTTTCTGTCTACAGGATCTAACATGTCCAAAAAGATCATTCAATCTCAACCAACAACATCAAGGCAGGAGGGCAAGACTGTGAAACTGGACTGTTCATATGATGCCAGGGTTGTATACTATGTGTTATATTGGTACCAAAGGCCTCCCAGAGGGGAGATGATTTTCTTCATTTCCCAGCACACAGATACAGAAACCAATGCAACGCAGGGTCAATATTTTGTGAATTCCCAGAAAGCAGCTAAAACTATCAGGCTCATCATGTCACCATCACATTTGGAAGACTGCAGCATATTTCTCTTGTCTCAGAGAGGGCCTTACAAAAAGCCCAGAACTCAACCTGAGACAAATTGCCTGTTCCCATATTCTCAGGGAAGCCTCAAACCTTACCCAGACATTTGTTAGCAGCTGGTGGTTAAAGTGTGTAAGATAAGATCTAGAAAGGAAGTTGTTGAATTCATTCCAGGAAGCACTCCTTCGCAGCTGGCTCGGGGACCACTCAGAACTATTTGCAAAAGTCATACTCTTCAGATATCATTCTATTTCTTATTTTTTCCCATGGAGTATGTCATTTTTAAAAAATCAGCATATGAAGGACAGTATTTTAAAATTATACTTGATTATTGCCGATTTTATACCTGCTCAATTCAATCTTTTGGGACAGATAGTTCTTTCTGGGTTCCTGGACCCAATTCCAACGTGGCGGGGGCGGGAAGAGGCTTCCCACACCAAGCAATTCTCCAGACACTAGCTGGATGTCCTACAATTCAACTCAATTCTGACACCGTCTTTCTGGAGATAGATCCCACTGGTTGAGGACTCAGTCCCACTCTCTTTTCTGATTACTTCAGATGCCAGTCGAAAGCCCAAGTTGTTACTTGTACTTCTGACACACCGGTTACATGGTGGAGGTTCCAATGACCCCCTCCAACTCAGGACGCCAGTCACAAGCCCAGGTTATTACCTATACTTCTGACCAACTTACTATAGATGTGAGGCTCCAACAACACCTTCCTTAGACTTCTGATGCCAGGTGCAAATCCAGGTTGCTATCTGTACTTTTGACAGGCTGGCTATATATCAGAAGTTCCCATGACCCCATCCTCAGGTCCAATTAATTTGCCAGAGTGGTTCACAGAACTCAAAGAGACATTTTACTTACTAGATTACTGTTTATTATACAAGGATGTAAGGAATTCAGGAACAGCCAGATGGGAGAGTTGCATCAGGCAAGTATAGGGAAAGAGTGAGGAGCTTCCGTGCTCTCTGAGAGCATCACTCTCCCAGCTCCTCCCTGTAGTCACCAACCCAGAAGATCTCTGAACCCTGTCCTTTTGGTTTTTTATGGAGGCTTCATTACTCAGTCATGATTGATTAAATCACTGGCCATTAGCAATTGATTCGACCTCCAGCCCTTCTACTCTCCCTGCAGGGTGTGGGTGGATACTGAAAGTTCCAATAGAATCACATGGTTGGCTCCCCAGCAACAGCCCCCACCCTTAAGTTGCCTAAGGGCTTTCCAAATGTCACATCATTAACATAAAAGATACCTTCATTGCTCTTATCACAGAAACTCCAAGGATTTTAGGAGCTCTGTGCCACAAATGGGGTTAAAGACAAAATACATATTTCTTATTATAAATCATGAAAGACATTAGGGAAAAGTAAGCACACAAAATAGAAATTTATTTGCTGGGATGCCTAAAGACTGACCAGAGAAATGGAACCTCAGCTGAGATTATAGACAGAACTATATAACACAATGTAGTAGAGTAACCTGTTCTGGACCACTTTTTCTTTTTTCTTTTTCTTTCTTTGACCACTTTTTCCTATCTCCTTGGCCACGTTTCACTCTAATTCTTGCCAACTCCAGCTTGGCTTACCAAGCCCTTTGATTCTCATGCTCCCTGAGCTGGGTTTGTTTATTGGAGTCCCCCTACAGTCACATGCCCATCACAAGCTTTAATTTAATCATGAAAGAGAAAGGATGAATGTAATGAGGCACTACTACAGACACTGGAGCCTGAAGTTGATCTCGTAGCCACCTGACTTGTTCATGGGAAACAAGAAATGAGACCATGGCTTCTAAACCAAGTGTTTTTTTAATTCAGATGCCTACTTCCCAGTTGTTTTGGTCAAGTCCACAGAACTAGTCTTTCAATTCTGATGAGTCATTTTCCTTGCCTTAGGAATTCCCTAAAATCCCTCCTAGGAATCCTCTGTTAAGGATAGTGAATGGACCCTATCTCACGTGTCTGCAGGTCTGACACAGTGCCAAATCCTTAACCTCCTTTCTTCTTAATCTTGTGCCCTGAACTAAGGCTTTGACAGATTATCAGAACCAAAAAGGAAATACATGAAGTGTCAACTCTTTTGTGGTTGTTACCTATTGCTGGACAATTTAGACATTCCTCCCCTGAAATTGTACCTGTGTGTACTTAAAGTAAGATTGCTAC